CCACTAAATTGACTTTATGACCCACACAAAATCTCAAAAATGTGCATTTTGAAAATCTTGACCAAGACCAGGAGTCAGCAAACTTTTTCTATGAAGAGCTTCTTAGCCTATATTTTAGGCTTGGCAAGCCATATGTTTTCTCTCACAAGTATAGTACTCAAACCGTGCTGTTTGTATCATGAAAGTAGTGTGGGCAAAATTGCAATATTTCCAGAATCTCTCACCTGGCTTTTGTGTATCTCCATATCAATATGTGTTTTCAAGGGGTGGAGAGAAGTAACATCTCCATATCAATAGGTAATTTTAAGGGCCAGCGGGGGACCAGAGGTAGGGTGGAGTATTTTACTCTGCTGTGACAACCCTTGGAGAGAGATGCGGGACAACTTCTTGTAAGCAATAGATGAGTTTCTTAAGCTTTCTTTCTCCCTTTGACTGATTTCGGTTTCAAAGATATTTTGTCCGGGGATTTCCCCTCCTCAGAGTTATATGGGCATAGTTGGCAGGATCTTTGAACCTGAAATCTGTCTACATGGGTGCAACCCTTGGGCGGGCTGCCCCTGGAGATGGTGGGGAGATGCATGGAACCCCCCATCCTGTGGCTAGTGGGGAGGTCCCAGTGGCTGCAGTGGTAGAGAGTGCAGCTTCACCTGGGAATCCCCTACTTGTGGGGCTTCCAACTGGGGATTCCCTAGTGGGAAATTGGTCTAGGGTAAAACACCTCCTAGAGGGGTGGGGCCTTCCCCAGAATTGGGGAAGGGTGGAGACACGGGAAGCTGCAGAATTAGCCCTCTGTTGGATAGAAGGCTGCTTAGAGGCTCTGAGTGGCTGTGTAGCAGCTAGCATTGTAGAATCTTTTTTCGTCGAGATAGCGGAAAGGTTTATCAAGGAGAGAAACAGACTTCGGCATCACTTGGAGGAGCTGGGCAATGACCTATGGGATGCCCTTAAGGAAGAGAGAGAATTATTGAGGACCGGTCGCACTCCTAGAAGATTCCTTAGAGGCGGTGACAGAGGAGGCGGCAGGAGAAGCAGTGTTGCAGGAAGCTGTGGGGGAGGGGAAGAAAGAGCGGTGGCTTCAGCCCCGGAGATGGTGGAGGAGCCTGGGGGAGAAGATGAGGAGGGGGGCCAAGGGCGGATCTGCTGCCGAGGCCACCTCCGGAGGCACCAGTCTCTCCTGTATTAAAGGCCAGCCTAACTAATTAAAATAAAAATGAAACGACCACGGACTCCTCAGGGGGAGGAGCCGCCCCTTCCCTAGGTTGTGGGACACTCCATGCTCTGCCCCTATACCCAGGATGAGCTGGTGGACATGAGCGTCCGGTATAGGCAGAAGCCATTGGAATCTGTCTACTTGGCTTTTATGTCTCTGGGATAGGGGGGTGGAAAACATTGTTTTGTCGGGTCCTGTAATGAGTAGACTGGCTTCCCTGATGACTCACCCTTCCCTCAGGCAGCAGTTGCAATGTGCCATCACGCCTCAGGGAATCATACATTTCTGGATTGGCCATTAGCTGCCATCAGGGCAGTTTGACCTAATCAGGGTGATTTACCATACTTACCCACTAGCTGGAAAACGTATGTAGAGCTCCAACAGGTGTTGTGGGAATGGGGTATGAAAAATATCATCTATAGGAATGAGAAATCCTGTGCTGCATACAGCTCCTACATCTCTCTTTGGGTACCTAGTGACCACTTTTGCCCCCCCACATAGGGCAACCCATAAGTGAGGCTAATGCTTGTACTTTAGCAGATTTGGGGGAGGTTGAAACAATAAGGGCACAAAAGGCAGTATGGGCTTCAATTGAAAGAAGAGGTGCAAAAGGCCCAGTGAAGATCTCGAGGACCCAGATGTGGATTGATTTGATAAAGGCCAGGGAAGTGAAAGAAAAACTTGATGGGCAACCCAATAGGATCTTGTTAGAACTGTGGCACCAATTAAAGCCAGAACAGCAGTAGTAGCTGCTCAAGTCCAGGACACAGAAGCTGGAGTCAAAGCCTCATGTCCAGCCTGTGTCCCTGTAAAACTTCCTGGGGGAGAGTACTCACAATTCACCTGGGCCCTCACCCGCACACGGTTCAACTAAGGTGGGGAGTCAACGTCCCCACCTTGGGGGATGTAGTGGTGACCAGAGGCCACATGTAGAATTAGCAATTCATTCATTCCCTGTGTATGTACAATGTGTCCTGGCACTGGTGGACACAGGAGCTCAATGTTCTCTACTTTATGGCAACCCTGAGTGTTTTTCTGGGACCTCTGCTGTGATAGATGGCTATGGGGGTAAGGCAATCAGAGTGAAGAAAGCCCAAATCCCATTAGGGATAGGGCATTTACCCCCAGAGGAATATACTGTGTACATTTCTCTCATCCCTGAATACATTTTGGGGTTGGATATCCTGCAGGGCAACCCTGCAGGGCCTGTGGTTACAGACCACACTGCAGGTGAGTTCAGACTGAGGGTACGTGTGGTAAAGGCAGAATTGAGGAGACATGCTAAGCATCCACCTGTAGCTCTGCCTGTACCTTGGTGAGTGACAAATACTAAGCAGTATAAATTGCCTGGCGGGCACAAGGAAATTGGAGAAACTCTACAGGAGTTGCAGAGAGTGGGCATCATAAAGCCTACGCATAGTCCTTTTAATTCCCCAGTGTGGCCAGTGAAAAGGTCAGACAGCTCCTGGTGTATGACCGTGGACTACAGAGAATTGAATAAAGTCACACCCCCTTTGCATGCTGCTGTCCCCTCTATAGTGGCCCTTAGGGACACACTCAGTCATGAACTGGGGACATATCATTATGCTGTGGACCTTGCTAATGCTTTCTTCTCTATTGACACAGCACAGGAAAGCCAGGAACAGTTTGTCTTCATGTGGGAATGCTGACAGTGGACATTCACTGTCCTTCCACAGGGATGTCTCCACAGTGCCACCATTTGCCACAGACTTGTAGCCCAGGACTTGGTCACATGGAAGAAACTGCAAATGGTGTGGCTGTAACACTACATTGATGATATCATGCTCACCTCTGATTCTTTTGCATATTTAGAAGGGGCAGTTCCTAGACTGCTGCAAAATCTACAGGAGAAAGGATGGGCTGTGAACAGCACCAAGGTTCAGGGACCTGGTTTGTCTGTAAAATTCTTGGGGGTTGTCTGGTTGGGTAAAACTAAAGTTATTCCTGAAACAGTCACAGACAACTTCCAGGCTTTCCCTACCCCTACAACTGTGGCAGTCTTACAAGAGTTTTTGGGTCTTTTGGGCTACTGGAGAGCATTTATCCCATACTTGGCATAAATTCTGAAGCCCTTATACCGGTAGGTATGAAAGGGCATCAGGTGGGACTGGGATAAGACATGTGCAGCTGCTTTCACTGCTGTTAAGCTAGCAGTTAAGGCCATACAGGCCTTGAGTGTAATGGACTCATCAAGGCCCTGTGAGCTAGATGTTCATGTAACCGAAGATGGTTATGGATGGGGTCTTTGGCAGCAGCTTGAACAGACACACCAACCTATTGGATTCTGGTTACAACCATGGAAAGGAGCAGAGGTCTTCTACACCTTGATAGAGAAGCAACTGGCTGCTGTGTACCACACCTTGCTGGCAACAGAGCCCATCACCAGAACAGCTCTGACCAAGGTAATGGCCATCTGTCCCATCGCGGGGGTGGGTTAGAGACTGGACCCAAAGGCCATGGAGTGGCATGGCACAGACACCTACACTGGCCAAATGGGGCCCATATTTATAGCAGTATAGTGTCCTCTTTACTAGCCCCTTAAGTGGAGAACTCCAACGCTTACTGGGGCCAGTGATCTATATCAGTGGAAAGCAGGAAGAAATTGCTTTTGAGCCCTTGGTAGCTGAGAGCCCTTATCAGGAGGGAAAAGCACCTATTCCTGAAGATGCTTGGTACACAGACAGCTCCAGTTATGGGCAGCCCCTGAAGTGGAGGGCTGTGGCTTTCCATCCTAAGACTGAGGCAATATGGCTGGAGGATGGAGAGGGGAAGAGCAGCCAATGGACTGAGCTGCAGGCAGTATGGCTCATGATCACCCAGGAGCCCTCCCCTATAGTTGTCTGCACTGACAGCTGGGCCATCTTATTGGGGCTTGACCCTGTGGCTACTGACATGGTATCATGCCAACTGGATGGCTGGTCACTGGCCCCTTTGGAGGCAAGAGTTGTGGCAAGACCCATGGGCCTCTGGTCAGACTGAGGCAGTTACCACATATCATGTGACTGGCCATTTGCCTTTGGCGTCCCCAGGGAATGATGAAGCAGACACGTTGGCCCAGGTGTGCTAATTAGAAGGAAAACCTGCCTCTGATGTTGCCCAGTGGTTACATTAGCATTTTGTTGCACACGGGGCAAAAGACAATGTGGGCTGTAGCCCATCAGTGGGACTTGCCATTGACCCTTGAAGAAGTCAGCAGGGCCCGGAAGGAGTTCCCTGTGTGCTCCAAGAGGGACTTACACCCAGTCCTGCAGCAACATGGGACAATAGTAAAGGGGAAGATACCCCTTGTCAGGTGGCAGATAGACTACATTGGGCCTCTGCCCATATCAGAAGGATATCTGTATGCCATGACTTGTGTGGACACGGATACTGGACTATTGGTTGCTTTTCCTTCACATCATGCAGATCGGCAAACCTCCAAGAGGGGCCTGGAGTGTCTCTTTGCAGCCTATGGCCGGCCACAGGTGATTGAGAGTAATCATGGCACCCACTTTACTGGACATGTGTTACAAGAATGGGTGCAGCAATTAGGAATAAAGTGAAAATTTTATGTACCATATAACCCTACTGGGGCAGGCATAATAGAGAGGTACAACAGTTTGTTGAAATCTGGCCTCAAGTTGGACACCAATAGTCTACAGGGCTGGTCAGTTCGCCTATGGACAGTGCTACGGCGTTTGAATGAGAAGCCCCGAAAGCCTTGAGCCCTGTGGATATGCTAGCACACATTGCTGCCTCTCCTATACAACTGTACATGCAAACCAAAGAGGAGTTATTGAAGCCAGGATATGGCCAGCAGAGCAACATCCTGCTGCGAGCCCCAACTGCATTAAATCCTGGAGACACTGTTTAGTGGACATGGCCCTGGACATTTCGACACACGGACCAGTGACAGCACAGCTGGCATGTTGGGGTAAAGGCCTGGAAGCTGGCCTCATGCATATTTTTGGAGTAATGGCAGAGTGGTCCTCAAAGATCACGGTAGTGTACCCAAAACATCCAGGAGGTAAGAGCATCTTATGGGGAAGTTTTGTTTTATCTTTATGGCTATTGCATATACCTCCTGTAGCTCTACATATTGACCCATCTGTAACTCCCACAGGGAGGCGGGTGAAAGTCTGGTGTATTAGACCAGGATGAGATCCCATTCCTGACACTGTCCTATCACAGGACTGCTCTCTTTCATGCATCCTACCTGATGGACAGGATTTTCCTATGCTGATGTCATTAAAACATGTGTCTTATCACAGGGACTGTGGCCTGGATGCACCCCCCTGACTGTAGCTGCCGCGTGATGATTGCTCTGAATTCCCTACCTGTTCAGCTATTGCCTGCTTGTGGAATGGGTGAGCAATGGACTTAAAGACTTTGAACCTAGCTGAATTCCCCAGCTTCAGTATTATCATGATTTTATGTTATTATTAGTCTCGTTACAGTGCTCCCATTTTCTCGCACAGGGGCCATTGTGGCAGATGGGGGAACGGGTAGATTGTGAAGCAAGATTTCTGGAGGGGTGACCTGTGGGTAAAATTACAATATTTCCAGAATCTCTCACCTGGCTTTTGTGCATCTCCACATCAATAGGTGTTTCCGAGGGACCGAGAGAAGTAGTTCATCTCCATATCAATAGGTAATTACAGGGGCCAGTGAGAGACCGGAGAGGTAGGGTAGAGTTTTTACTCTGCAGTGGCAGCCAGGTTTGAGAGAGACGCAGGACAACTGCTTATAGGCAGGAAATGGGTTTCTTAAATTTTATTTCTCCCTTTGACTGATTCCTGTTCAAAGGTATTTTGCCCCGGGATTTCTCCTCACTGGAGTTACCTCAGTCATAGATAATACATGAATGATTGGGGGTCTCTTTCAATATAAATTTACGGATACTGCAATTTGAATTTCATATGATATTCACATCATGAAATATTCTTCTTTTTGTAACTTCTTAGATTTCAGGCCATACCAAAATAGGCAGTGGCTGGATTTGGCCAGAGGCCATAGTTTACTAACTCCTGCCATAGACGCTAAATTTCACGGAGGCAGGGACCATTATCTGTCTTTTTTCCCCATTGTATCTCTGAGGTCCAACACAGAGCCTTGTATGCATTCAATTAATATTTAGTAAGTGAATTATTAAAGAGAGAAATTTTTGAATTAAACGTTTGTATTATGAAAGTACTATGTGTTCATGGAAGAAAAATGAGCAATACAGCTGAACAAAATGAATAAACAAATCGTTGGTAATCCCACCACTTGGAGATAATCATATCCTTTCATACTTGTATGGAGTAGATGGCAGAATTTATGGAAAGGCTATTTTCTGGTTAAGAGAGTGGTGAAAAGTTCTATTTCCCCTCAATCCACCAGGGACCTAGGCTTCCCTTTTATGGTTGTAGGGGACATACAAAGCATATAAGGGTTTAGCAGGGGGAGACTATCCTCATCTGGGGTCAAAGAAGTCCTTCTTTCCTAAGGAAGTGACATTTAGGGTGAGGACGAATTAGTTGAGCAAGAAAACGGGGAAGTTCCACAATGAGAGAGTGTGGTGTCTTAATTTAGAGGCATCTGGCTGGAGGGTAGAGAGGGGGCAGGAAGTGGCATGACATCAGCCTGTGGAGGTTGGCAGGGACTACATTAAAAGGGCTCTGTCATCTAGATCTAACTACCAGTTTACAGGAACTAAAGAATATAGATGAACAAATTTAAAAACACCCCAACGAAATAATCAGCCAGATCCAGAATGAGGAACATTCTATGGAACGAATGATTCAGTTTCTCATTGAATCAGTGGCATGAAAATAGAAGAAAGAAAAGGGAGGTCAGTTTCAGAATAAAAGAAACTTAATAGCCATAACAACCTAAAACCATGTGTGGATCTTATTTATTTCTTGATTTGAACAAACTGTAAAAGGCATCTTTGAAATGATTGAAGAAATTTGAATGTGAACTGGATATTAAGTGATATTAAAGAATGACTGTTAATTTTATGGGGTATGATAATGGCATGGTGATTACATTTTTTAAAAAGCGCTTATTAGTTATGGATGTATGTATGTGAGATGACTGATGTATGGGGTGTGCTTTAAAAAAAACTGGAAAAAATTTGGCGGTGTGTGATATTGTAATATAAGAAGTATCTGTTTGGTCTGAACAGGTTCCTGGCACAAGTGCTTCTAAAACCCTTGGAGGGTTTCAACCATACTGGAGTTTATGTTATGAGGTGACTCTTGGAGGGCCCCTGGGTAGCTTCAGGATTATTCCTCAGGAATAACTTCCCGGTGTCTGGATTATCTACAGCTATCTGTTATTGCCCGGTGTCTGGATTATCTACAGCTATCTGTTACTGTTTAGTTTACAAAATGAAGAAACTGCTTCATAATCTATACTCTCTGGTATCAACAGTGTCTTTGTTTCTCCCTCCTCACACCATCTTGACTACTTCCTTGGTGCCTGGAGGATTTGGAGGTACTTTCTGTTGTCCCAGAATAATTTTTACATGTAGGCAACTTTTAAGCTAGTAGCTGAAGCTTAGACTGATCAAAATCTGAGTTTAGTCTAGCATCAAAATCCAAACCAGGACCCTTTTTAAATTTCATTTTAACTATCACAGATGATAACTAAGGGATTGTATTTTTGCTTTGTCCAGTAGTTTGCATTTCCTTAGTCATCCAGGGAGCTAGCTCCCTGGAAGTTGGATCTAATTTTCAAGTCCACTGGTAACTTTCACCTTTGGTAACTGATTGCACCATAGTTGCTGCTTTCATAGTATGGGTGATTGTATGTCCACCCTGGAATCAAAGGTTCTTCATCCTCCACCTTTCATCCTTTCTCTTCCCAAACCACCTATTTCTGTGAGCCAGGACCTGTCTAGCAAATCTCACTTCTGACACCAACTATTAGCTGTTTTCACTAGTAGCACTTCTGACACCAAATTTGTGTGTCCCCCCCGCACACCAACCAATTCTCCAAGTCTTCAGGCACCAGCTGAGCATCCTACAATTTAATCAACTCTGAGACTAACCCAGAGTGAGTTTAATCCTGCAAGACTGCCCCCAATTCAGATGCCAATTGCAAATCCTATACTTATGACCAACTGACTGTAAATTGAGGGTTCCCATGAATCCCTCCTCAGGTTCAATAATTTACTAAAAGAGCTTACAGAACTCAGGAAAATAGTTTACTATTACCAGTATGAAATAAAATTGAGTTTTGTGACTCCACATGGTAGTCTTACAGGCAAAGAGAGAGCTCTGCAAGTTGGAGAAGCCCCAAGTCAGCCAGGTCAGTACATGCTGTGCTGTCAAGATGCCCTGCAGCCATTCCTGCCTGTGTCACAGCCCCTCCCCACTAACCCATGACCAGGAAAACCAGCCTGGAATACTCAGAGGAAGAAAAACTGGTCTGGTTCTTGTGTCCTTGGTAGAATTCTTCAAGAGAATGATTAATAACCCTAATAATTTCTTCCTCTTGGATATAGATAAAATCAGAATATTCATTGTCTGTTCTTTTAAGACACTGTTCTGATACGTTGATTAACTTAACGTCTTTCTTGCACCCACTCCCTGCTGTAAAAAAATATTTAAGATATCCCTAAAAGGAGGGCTTTGGTGTAGTCTATCAGAACACACTGATAAGTTGACTCTCTGGGCCATAGTCCTCAGTAAGACTATGAATAAACTTTTTCTTAAATGAGTAGCCATTTTGATTTCCGTCAACACTGGGTTATTGTAAAGAACACAGCTAGGGAGCAGCCAAGTGGAAGAGAAGAACAGGGTGGTACTGGTGTGTGTGTGTGTGTGTGTAGCTTCCATGCTTTCTCTAGATCTGCCACCCTCTGTGTTCACCCACAGAGATTCACTGAGCCCCACTGGTTAGGGATTTTTATTAAGGTTCTATTATGTAGGCATGATTGACTAAATTTTGATGATTAATTTAATCTCCAGCTCCTCTCTGCTGTCCGGGGATTGAAGGGTGAGACTGAAAGTTCCAGCCTTCTAATCACATGGTTAGTTCCTCTAGCAACCAGCCCCCATCCTGAACTTAAATAGGGGCCCACATAGTGTCAACTCAGCATAAACTCAGGTATGGTTGAAAGAGTTTTTATAAACAACAAAAGACATTCCTCTCGCCCCTTTGAATTTCTCTCAGGAAACACCAAGGGTTTTAGAAACTCTTGTGTCAGGAACCTGGACAAGACCAAATATCTGTTTCTTATTGTATCACAATACCTCAGGGGTAATAATAAAGTGGGGAAAAGGTTGCTAATTGTTGAAGCTGAGTAATGGGTACACAGGAATTCATTATGCTAAGTCTCTGGGCATTTGTGTATATTTGGAAACTTAGATAATAAAATATTTATAGTAAAAAAGAATGACCCCTTATAAGCTATACCAAGGAATCAGAACTTAATTTTTAACTTTTTATTTTGAAATAATGTTAGACTTGGGGATGAGTTGCAAAGACAGTAGAGTGTTCCCAGATACCCTTCATCTGTTTCCCTTTCATGTTCCATATTCTACTGCGGAATGTTTATCAAAACCAAGAAATTAACACTGCTATAATATCATTAGCTAAACTGCAGACTTTATTGGATTTCTACAGTTTTTCCACCACTGTCCTTTTTCTATTCCAGTATCCACATCGTAGTTGTCATGTCTCCTTAATCTCTTCCCATTGTCACAGATTCTTGATCTTCCCTTGCCTTTCATGAGTTTGACATTTTTGAGAAATAATGGTCAGGTGTTTTGTAGGCTATCCCACAATCCGAATTTGTCTGATGCTTTCTCATGATTAGACTAAGGTTATGGGTTGGGGGGTCGAATACTGCAGAGGTGATATGGCCTTCTCATTTCATCACTTCAGGGAGCACATGAGTCAACATGACATATTATTTCTTATTAACCTTAGTCACTTAGTTAAGGTGGTGTCTGCCAGGTTTCAACACCACTTTCCCTTTTCCATACTTAGTGACTAAGTCTAGCCCATGCTCACCAGGATTTTAAGAGTGGAGGAGACTCATTGAAGGGATTTAGGCAGGGGACTTTGTGTTCCAATGTCTGTTTCAGAGACATCTGTTTCACACATCTCTGCGTGAAATGTGGAGATGAGATACTGAGTTTGCAGTAAGGTTGAATGTAAACTGGTGGATGGATTTGAGTGGCTTTACAGTCTGACTCAGCAGAAGTTGGTTCATCGTTGGATATGAGGAAAGTGGAGTCAAGGATGGCCGCTGGGTAACTTGGACAGTTGGGCGGCAGGGGCCTTTCACTGAGTCTATAAACCTGTGGGGGTCTCTGTGCCCCCTGGATGTGTATGCCTCCCCTGCCTGCTAGTGAGAAGCCAACTTTCTGCCTCTTGAGCTTGCCTTGCCTTGCCTTGCCTTGGGGCGGGTCCCAGAGGGTCACTGGGGCCAGAAAATGACATCGACGCACACATTGGAAGTTTGGGATTACCAAAGGCAGGTGAGAGTCACAAGAGAGCCCTCCAGGGACTGAAAGAAGCTCGAAGAGAATAAATCATCCCGAATCCTTTTTTCTCCTACCCGTTTAATGACCCAATTAGGAGCATACAATCAAAGGGTCTACGACTCAGTGGTTTCAATTTTATTTAGCTTTTCGTGTTCCACTAATCGGCCTACCCCTCGGCAATGTGCGTATTGTTCTCCTTTCGGAGGAGTGTTGGGGGTCAGAGGGGACTGCTACCTTTCAGCCCTCACTTCCGCCGGCGGGCCGCCCGCCCAAGTTTCTTTTCTCCTCGGCGCCTCCAGGTGCGGGCGAGAGGAGCTGGGGGAGTTGGGGCTCGGGGCGCAGGCCCGGGCGCCGGGCGGGCCGCGCTCGCTGGCGGCGGCTTGTAGACCAGGTGGAAGATGAAGGCGTTGCAGTACCTGAGGGGGCGTGGTTCCGTGAGGGGCGGGGCTTCTGGGCCTCACTAGTTCCACCCGGTGGGGCTAGATTCAGGGCTCGGTCAGCCCGAGGGTAGCAGGGAAATTTGGGGGCGGTCAAGGAGTTGGAGAGACTTTGTGAGCTGATCTAAAGAGGGCTGTGTTGAGCAGAGGTGGACTGTAGGGCTGGGGCGAGGAGGGTTCCAGGAAAGCAGAGACTGGGCTGGAGGTGAGCCTTTTAGGGTACGCAGCCAGAGGGTTCGAAGGTCAGGAAGGAAATGCGGAGGGTCGTGGGTCCTTACCAGGGCATGCAGTTGTCGGCCGCTCTGAGGCGGAAGGGGGAGCGGAAGGGGTTGGGCTGTGGAGGGCTGGTGCCCCCTCCTGTGGCCACCGTCATGGTCTGGTCGTCCATCACACAACTGTACTCGCTGCTCTCCGTGAAAAAGGCCGGCACTCGGAGGGACTGGGGTGGGGCGGGCCCCTTAGACACTCGGAGAGGCTCCCACCAGGTTACCTCCCGAACAAAAGGGGTCACAGGCTGGGTTGGAAACTGAGGATCCAGACCGACCTGGATGGGGGAGGTAGACAGAGAGGAGCAAGAGGACCCGTGCACATGCCTCCTCATGGGGGCATTTGATGGGGCAGAGACTTTTGGAAAAGGAAGGACTGGGCAGGAGGTGAGAGAAGTTCCCTTTCGCACCTGTAACCGAGGCAGCGAGCTCAGCCAAGTGTCCTTGAGACCAAAGCCAGGGTTAAACCCTACGAATGGAGGGAGAGCAGGGAGAAGCTGGTTCCCATGGCCGCCTTCCACTTTCCTCACATTCCTACCCAGGCTCTTACCAACAACTAGGTCAGGCTTGGGCCCCTGGAGCAGGTGGTAGGACCGAACTGACACTTTGATCTGCAGGTCCCTGCGGCCCCCCTTCTCCTTATTCCCGGAGCTGAGGCGTGCTGATACTTCACAACAAGGACGGAGAGATACTTCAGGGCCATCCTTGGTGGGGCAGGAGTGGGGTAGAGAAACCACTGGAAGTTAGGGGGGAAGATTCAGTGGGGGAGGGGGAGGAAGGGAGGGCCCAATCAGGATCACAGCAGGAGATCAGGGCTGGAGAGACCCTGGGACCCCCTCAGCCCTCACCCTTTGCAGGGTAAAACACTGCTGGTCGCTCTCAGGGGGTAGGCCATCACCCACAAACTGCAGCTCCAGGGCCATGTGGGGGAGCAAGACCAAGAGCTCCTAAGGGACAGAGAAGACAGACCTGGGTCCCACTGTGGACCCACCTCCACACACAAATACCCAATCTACAGGCCCGGAGGGACTTACCCAGAACACCATTACAAGGTCAAACTCCTTCCTGGCCTCCACCACGTGGATTTTCAGTGACTTCTTGTTCTGGATGTTGAGCTCAGGGACTGGGTAAGAGGCTAGCCATTTGAGAATACGGGATCCTTCCCTCCTGACCCCTCCCAGTTCCCTGTCCCTCCTGTCCACACGCCCCTCCCCTCCCTCAGCTCTCCTTACAAGACTGGGGCACCAGGTGGGTGATGATGTAGTACACAGTCAGCGGGTAGGTGAGAAGCACAGCCACGGGGGAGTCCAAGCTGAGGCCCCGCCATGTGTAGTAATCCTGCCACGAGCCTGGGGACAGTGGGTCACTGGGGGACCAGGGACCTGGTCCCTAACCCTCTAGTCCAGTAGCCCCCTTTTTCTCAGCCACCCAAATTGCTGGCCCTCCACTCTCTGTCCCTACATCTAGCCCCCTGAAGGCCCCTCCAGCTCACCAAAGAGGCCCCTGGGTGGATCTGGGGGCACAGGAGGCATCAGGGGTGGCCCATTCCCATGGAGAAGCTGGTAGGGATCTCCTGAGAGGATGAAGAGAAGAGGAGGAACTTGGTGTCAAGGAGACCCCCACCTGGCCCATCCAAAGGAGCTGTATTTCCTGAGAGAGGGCCTGGAGTTGGATGCAGCAAGAGGAATGGGGGCTGCCTGTGGGGGACTTCTGGATGGGGTGGGTGAGGGTGACTTTGAGGATTGGGAAAAGGCCTGAAATGGCCCTATTATGGTGGAGGTGGGGGGGTTGGTATGTAAGTGGAGGTGCTTTCTGGGACCCAGACAACTTTTTTCTCTCCCGTCCTTCCCTCTAGGCTGAGAAGAGCCCATGCCTGAAGAGAGGCCCCACTTACCATTGAGAAGAAGGCTGAGGGATGTTGTGCTGCCCCAGGGGTGCCTGGGTGCACCAGGGCCAGGAATCAGCATGCTGAGCTGGGTCCAGTAGCCACGAGTAAGGCCTCGTGAGGCCAGGAAGGCCTCCTTGTTGAAGGTTTCACTGGTCACCTCTGGAGATGAAGGAGGGGAGGGCCTGGTAGCTAGGACCCCAGACTAGGATCCCCTCAGCTTCTCTCAAGGACACTGGGTCTGAGTCTGGTTCTAGTCATGGAGAGTACTAATATTTCTGAGTGTCTGTGGTGTAGCAGGCATCGAACCCATAGAATCATTATAAAGATGCCCTGGGTTTTTAACATTTGTCACTATCCCTGTTTTACAGATGAGGAAACTGAGGCTCCAAGAAGTAAAGTGATTCGTTGGAGGTCACCAGTCAGTGGTGGAGCTGGGAAGCAAGTGTTTGAATCCTTATTTCCGAATCTCCTAAACTCTCTCAGTGACCCAGGCCCTCAGTCCTCATCTCAAGAGCCCCTGTCTCCATCCCCAGGGCTCTAGCCCCCAGCATCAAATGCCCAGCAGCCAGCCCTTATTCCAGAGAGCTAGACTCCAGCCCCAGGCACTTTGCCTTCAGCCCCAGGACCCTGTTCCCAGGCCCAAACACCTGGTCTCAGTTTGGATCCCCTCCTGACCTATGGTACCTGTGGTGTAGGTGAAAGGCAGAGCTGCCAGCTCTCCAGCCCGCTCCATGAAGGCTGCAAGCCTTGGGCACCAAAATTGGTGGCTCACATCATCTGGGCATCGCCGCCAGTCAGCCTGGAGACAAGCCTTTCCGCAGTACAAGACAGCTCTACACTGGGGACTGGAGTCACAGGGAGCAGAGGGTGCCCAGCGTTAATCTCTGTAGGTCCTCGGCTGCCTGCCTGCTCTGCAGTTGCCCCTTGTCACCTGGTCTGCTTTTCTGTATACTCTGGAAGAGCTTCTTTTTTTGTTTCCTGTCCCTCACTCTATCTGCTGGGCCTCCACTGGCCTGCTTTCTCTCTTGCTGCCTGACTGTTGGGGTCTTCCTCCCTCTCACCCCATCTTTGCAGGCTGCTCACCAGGGTGTCAGCTTCACTTCAAAGCTGTGCCTGTGACAAACATGGCAGATTCGAGCCCGAAGGGAGGCAAAGGTAAAGCCTGGCCGGGGGCCCCATGTCCGCATTGGGGTCTTGGCTAACTTCACTCCCAGCCTTGGGACCAGAGTCGCCAGCTTTCTGAATGGGGGTGGAGACAGCATCAGGCAAATGGCTCAGGAGTCCGGACCCTTAGACCTCCCTAGGGAGGCAAAGGTAAAGCCTGGCCGGGGGCCCCATGTCCGCATTGGGGTCTTGGCTAACTTCACTCCCAGCCTTGGGACCAGAGTCGCCAGCTTTCTGAATGGGGGTGGAGACAGCATCAGGCAAATGGCTCAGGAGTCCGGACCCTTAGACCTCCCCAACCTTAGGTAGCAGATCTCTGTACCGATGCAGCTGGGCGTCTCCCACAGTAAGCTTTCGGGGTTTCCGGGGGTCTCCAGAGCCCATGGGGCAGGCCATGCTGTGGCAGAGGAGAGCATAGGCCTGAGGAGCCAGGTGCTCTGTCCCTGAATCCCTGCCTGCCCTTCCCTGGGCTCCATCCATTAGCAGGTCAATGCCCAAGATGGTGCCGTGTTCATCTGTCACCAGTAAGAGGCAGGAAAGGTGCAAGGGGACAGCCTCTGGGGAAGAAGGGAAAATTGGGGGTAGAAGGCAGCAAAGTTGGACAGGGTCAGGGGTATGAAACTCAAATGTCTACAGGACCTAGACAAGTAAACTAAGTGAGTAAGAGGACTAAGTAGGGAGGATGGGCCTCATCTGAAGGGTCAGCTGCTACACACTACTAGCATATGCTGCCGTGCAGAAACCTGCTGTTGGAACTTTACGTTTTGCTTGAGAAGGTGTAACTCCAGACTTCTGAAGTTTTTTTTTTTCTTTCATTGTTTAAATGTTGGCTCAAATTAAAACATAAAAACATGTGGGTCAATGAAAACACCTTTCCAGGTCTTACTGGCCTGAAGGTCACCTGTGTGTGGCTCCTAGCTGGGTTCTGAGTGGTAGAGGAGGGCTTCAGAAGGGGAGTATGCCTGGAAGGGGACAGGGCAGGGCCAGCCTTGGGCTCTTACCGCTTCTCTGACCCTTCCTCCTCTCAGGGCCTGTTTTGTCCTCCGCCCTGTCCTCTAGGCAGCCATTCGCACCACGTCCTGCGTCCTGCTCAGCCTCCTCTGGCTCCTCTGGAGGGTTTGCTTCCTGGGAGAACTCCCTGCTGTCAGGGGCTGGCTGCCCATCCTCCTCTTCCGTCTTCTCCATGCTTCTACCCCTCTCTTTATTCTTTTCCTCTTCCTCCTCCTCCTCCTCCTCCCCTTCCTCCAGGCTGACAAAGCTGACATAGGGGCTTAGGTCTTGCAAGTGCAGTGGGGGCTCATCTCCCAGGAGCAGGGCAGCCCCCAGGCCTGGGCCAGGGCCTGTCTCTGGCCCTTGCCCCAGGCTGATGCCCACACTACGGTTGGGTAAGACATGGAGCACCCAAAGGGCAGGATCCTGGGGCAGCCTTCTGATATGAGCCTCCAGCTGTTGCCAGCGGCCCTCAAGGCTGGCGCCCAGAGGCCCTCGCTCAGCCACGAACTTGCGGAACCAGCCAGAGAGGAGGGCAGCAAAATCTAGGAACTCATCCCGGTATCCAGACACAAACTCCATGTCTTCAGCGGCACAGGATCTGGGCCCAGACTGAGCAGAGGAAGGGATATATGGTGAGGGAAAGAGTAGTGGGAGAGTTTTGGAGCTAGGTCATAAAATGGGGAGGGTTGGGGTCAGGTAGGATGGAATCTATGGGTAAGGGTTAGCAGCAGACAATAAGATTTTCAGAGCTGAGGATAGGAGTTCAGGATGAGAATGGGCACTAGACTTGAAATTGGGTGATTAGGATTAAGGATGAATAGTCAGGAGTTAGACAGTATTTGGGGCCCCAAATTTGAGGCTCAGACCCTCAAAAGTAAAGTTTGAATTAAGGATAGAGCTAATCCTATGGGGAAGGGTTTAGTAAGGAAAGAATTTTGGATCCATGTGTGGGTTGTGAAGAGGGAATAGGAGCCCGGGCATCTCTAGGGCTTGGATCGGTTTGGCAGTGAGCCCCAGTCTAGCTCCTCCCGGCGCGCCACTACTCCGGTACCTGCAGCCGCCATCAATTTTCGAAGGTAAATACTCGGGGGCGCGAGGCTGTCGTGACGTCAGGGCCGCCCGAGGCCACGGCGCGTTCCCCGGTGACCACGCTCTGGACGCCGGGGGCGTGCGCGGACCTTCCTGCGGGCATGACCCCGCCATGTGACTGGATCCCGCGGCGCCCGCACCCCTGCTGGGGAAGTGAAAGCGTCCTGCGAGAAGAGGCCTCTTCTCCTCCTGCGCGTCCCAGGCCCGCGGACTGCCCCGGGCGGGCGGGGCTGGCATCCCTGGGCCGACCCACTCGGCTGCTGGCCGCCTGCCCAGCTTCGCCTCCCAACCTGCGTTTTCTTTCGCTTTCTTCAGACATTCCTTGCCGCCCCCTGGACGGAGGCTCCGGGCCCGGCTCGGCGCGCGGGCAGAGCAGCTTCGCCTCCGGGGGTTTCCCCGGTGCGGGAGGCGGGGGGCCGCGCGCCGTCGCCCGTACTGACCGTACTGTCGGTTCCAGACGGTGCGGGCGCCGGGAGGGAGGACGCCACCTCCTCGAGCCACCAACTCGGCGCCCACCGCCGCTGTGTCCCCAGACCTTCCCGCCGAGCGGGGGAAGGAAGCAAAAGCCTGGGAGAAACCGGCTGGACGGCACGTTCTGGAGCCTGGGACTATACAGGGAGAGGCAGCCCCGAGATGAGGCGGGGCTGGGGACCCCGGTGCCTTGCGCTCTCGTTCGCCCTGCTGGCCCAGCTGACTCTGCCAGGTTCGTCGGGAGCTGCGCTGGTGTCCAGATCCCTGCATCCGGGGAAGGGGTGGGTGTATGTGTGAGTCAGTAGGGCTGAGGGGTTCAGCTGAGTAAGTGGAGAGCCAGGATCCCCAAGAGAGTCGGGGCAGCAGGGGCAGGGCCAACTGCCTGGGGTTGGGGAGGCTGGAGAACACGAGGTTCAGGTGGGATTATGGAGGTGTTTGGGAGTGTGATGTGTAGCTGAGCCTGGGGCTCAGATCCTGGGCTCTAGGGGAGAGGCTGCAATGAGGCAGTGAGTTGGAGGCTCGCAGCTGGCGGAGCCCTTGCCCTGGGACCCTGCGCTGACCACCTCTGTCCTGCTCAGGCGATGGCAATGAGGGAAGCATTACTGGAAGTTGTCCCTGTGATGAAGTCATTTCTTCCGGTTCCCCTCTAAAGGCTGGGCCCATGGGACATCTCCGAAAGCATGTGAAAGTCTATCACCGCTGTGCTTCGTATGTCAGGTAATCTCACCCCCTCCTGGAAGGGCAGCACTTCCCGTTGTGTTGTCTCCAGGACCTTCTCTGGTCACATTTGAACTCCTCCTGCGAGGACCTTAGCCCCTACTCTGTGTTACCTTTGCCCTAATTCTCCACCCCTTCTTTTCTCTGTTCCGTCTACCCGGGAATTTCCCAGTCCCAGCAGAAATGGCTTGTTCTCTTCTTGGCCTTGTGGTGACGTCACATCTTTGGAATGAGGAAAGAGGTGGGGAAGGTGGGGGTGAGGGTAGTGCCCCTAAGACCTGGTCCTTCCTCTTTAGGTTCCAGCTACCATTCCGGAGTGTGTGTGGGGGCAGCAAAGACCAGTGGGTTCAGGAACTGATGAGCTGCTTTGATCGCAGAGGTGAGCACTTTCCCTCTCCTCCCCAGGCTGTGTCTTCAGGGCTCGGTGGCCTCCACCTTACAGTTTTCTTTGCCTCAGGCCTTTTCTCCCTGTTCTGGGGCTGGCCAAGTACTTTCACTGGAGTCCCTGTTTACCAAACATCATTCAACACCACTTTCACGATTTTTTTTGTCCATTCATGCTATCACCTGTGTTATTATTTACTTAGTATCTCTGGAAATCAGAGCACTATTTTTGTTTTCCAGCATTTCATTATGAAGTTTTTCATTTTCAGTATTTCATGTAAAGATATCTACAAAAGTGAAAAGAATTGTACAGTGAACATCCCTATACCCACCATGTAGATTCTACAGTATTTTTTTGTGTATAATTTAAGTTTTACATATATGTACATAATAAAACAAATGGATTTTAATTTTTATATCAAGTTTATAGCATTTTAAGTATATTTGCTTTATTGCACGTACATGTCTATCCATCCCTCGGTCCACCATCATTCCACCTTATTTTTTGATGCATTTCCAAGGAAGTTGTGACATGTCTACACTTCATCCCAAAGCATTTCAGCATGTATGTTAAAAGAAGTAGAAGTCAATATTTTCTCGTTCCTTTTTTCTTTTGAAGTAAAATTGACCTATAATGAAGGAAATAAATCTTGAGTGTATACAAGCCACTTTTTTTTTGTAGATAATTATTTTTTATTGAAGGGTAGTTGACGCACAGTATTACATTAGTTTCAGGTGTACAACACAGTGATTCAACATTTATATACATGATAATTCTAGGTAACATTTATCACCATACCAAGTTGTTACAATATTTTGACTATATTCCTTATGCTATATATTACATCCCGGTTACTTATTTATTTTACAATTGGAAGTGTGTACTTTTTTTTTTTTT